ATGAGGTATAGCAGGGTAGGGGAGTGGGAATGAGGGAGGGAGGGGAGTGGGAATGGAGAGGTGAGATCGAGGGAATGGAGGGAGGGAGGTGCGGAATGGAGGTGGATGGGGGGATGGGGGAGGATTGGAGAGGGAGGGAGGGGATCGGTGGGAATGCGGAGGTGAGGGGAGGTGGGAATGGAGGGGAGGGGAGGGGAGAGGAGAAGGAAAAAATGAAGAAGTCGTTTGCGTAGAGTGCCGGCTGCGGGTGAGACTCTCAATCTAGGGCATATTCCGTAGAGGAACGCTCAAAGATAATTAAATTACCATTCATTAGAGATGGAAATTCAGTTATTAATTTTCTTGCAGCATTGAAAATATAGACATAAAACAATACGACGATAACATAACAAATCAACATACAACAAAATAAACAAGCATTAATCATTTTTTGTTCCATTGTTTGCCAATTATCTGAACACTTAAGATATCTTTGCTGAGATGCAGTCTTTAAATTGGTGTCAAAATCCAATGTCACAGTTTAAGAAATGATTATACACTGACAAACATTCTAAGAATCGATTTCAGAGATTCATATCAAATGACCTGGAATTGAAGCAGCGATAGCCCTGGTGCATATGATGTTTGTGTTACGGGTGAAGACATTGACCGCTATGGGGCGAGGATAACACAGATTGGGCTGGAGAGGACGGTGGTGCGCGTTCACGGAGACGCGTGGTAGGCGTTCACGGAGACGAAAGGCGGGGAGGAGAGGGGAGAGGCGGGGTGGCGCTGATCGCGGCGAAGGCACGGCCAGCCGGCGGCGCCAACGCCTCCGCCGGAAACGACGGGAATCGAGGCTGGCGTGGGCATAACCGCGGAACGACCGAAACTTGCCTCGAAAACGACGCGTCAGGACAGCAGGCGCTTTAACGGTGACTCTCCCCTCCCCATCTCTCCCTTCCCGCTTCTCCCAATCTTCCCTACCCTCCTTTCTTCACCATACTCTCCCCTCTCTTGCTTTCCATTCCGTCATCTCCCTCCCCTCCCATAATCACCCTTCCTATACCCTCCCATCCTTCCCCTTCCTTCCCTGTCATCTCCCCTCTCTCACCCTCCATTCCCGTACACCACCTCTCCCTCTCCTCTCGTTCAGTATTCCCGTGGTCCTGGCACATCAAAATTGTCACCACTCTGTTTTTTTTCCTCACTCTCCTCAGTCTCTTCCCCTTTTCTTTTCCTAGCCACACCTGAGGCACTATTCCCATCTCCGCTCACAAATTGCAGTTCCGCGGTTTCATTCGTGCGGTATTCGAAGTATCTCAACGACCCTCTATTTGCCTAATTAATGTATACATTTTATTTGATTTAGACTTCAATTACTTCCACTTCCAATCGGCTGCTACCTTTATTTGCATTCAGCATTCACTACTACTACTGTCCACACGTGAGATGCTGCACAACATTCTTGCCTATTTCTACCGCTGCTACCACACTGCGTTCCACATCCTCCGCCACGGCCGCTTTCTCCCGCACTGTCGTCGCCCCGTCTCCGTCGTCTTATGCAAATGGCAGGAAATAAATTTTATGACGATTATCACCGGCGCGTTTGTTTTATGTGAAGTTTATGGACAGTTTCATCAAAATGCGTGCTTTACACGGCGCGGCCGTCCTTCAGCGCGAGGGAGCCGCCGCCGTCGAGGGCGGCGGAAACGGGGGCCGCCCCCGCCGCCGCCGCCGCCGCCACACAAAAAGTGCTGGGCAGCGGCGGAGGGCTGACCGGCCGATAAGCCGTGAATGCGCGCTATGGGGAGGCTGGCACGCCGCCGCCGCCGCGGCCCTGCCTCCTGCCTGCCTGCACCGCCCTCGTCACCGCCTTCGCCGGCGCTCAGCTGCGCCTGCACCCACACCTCCTCCTCCCGCCTCCTCTTCCTCAGCTTTCGCTTCATCCACCACTATGCGCGCCACCGCGTCTGCCCTTGTTTCCGCTAGTCTCCGCTACTGCCTCTGCCACTGGCGCTACAACTACCTTCTCCGCTGCCTACACCGCCTCTTCCGCCACTGTCTCCGCCATTGCCTTCGATATTGCCTCACCACCCTTGTCACTACCCCTGTCACCAACACTGCCTTCGCCCCTGTCTCCGCCATTGCCTCCGCCACGGCTCCACCAATATCTCTACCACTGTCTCCGCTATTGCCTTCGCTACTGTCACCACCCTTGTCTTCACCGCTGTCTCCGCCATTTCCTCCGTCACGGCCTTCGCCGCTGCATCCACCCCCACCTCCGTCACTGCCTTCGACGCCACTGACTAGGACCTCGCTGCCTCTGCCCCCACCTTCGCCGCCGCCCGTCACCACTGCCCTGCGGCCACGACAGCTTTGGTCGAGACGCCAGCGTATATATTTTCCTTCCTTCGCCCTTGTCTGGGTCTCCCGTCGCTGCACGTTTTTTGGAGGGCGTTGATGGATAAAAATCTACGTAGAAAGAACGCCGCACTTTTTTGGGGGGCGCTAATGTATTATTCCACTTTCCATTATTCATTCCACTTACAATTGCGCTTCAGGCCGAACACTGTATTTATTCCTAATGAGTATCAGTCAATGGGGCATTGACCGACCTATGAGTCAATGTTAACATTTTTTAAAATTAATAAGCGTGTTACCTCAGCGTATGTTCCTTCTAGGTTGTAATTCAAATCGCAATATTTTAAGACGAACACAATTAAATAAGCGTATGTGCAATACTACAATAATGTGTTAACGACAATGGTAGTATTCTTTCTTCGATTTAGTATATATTGAACTTCGCAGTCGCTCAAAAATCTCGTTTTGGTTTTTCTGATATGTACGGATTTTGACCTTAGAACAGCAAAAAGAGAAACGGGTTCATAGATGTGTCGATGTAATTTCCCTTCCTCTTAATAGGAAGAAAAAGTCTCGAGACTTGCTCTGTTACTGTTAAGGTGGAGAAAAGTCTGTTATAAGTAGATCTCCTGTGATCGCGGATGTGTTCAGTAATTGACTTGCTACAGGAGCTAAAGACACCTTTCACGTAAAAATTAGTACGACAGAATCATAGTGAAGAGATGCAATAAATGATAGTAGATAATCTACTTTCCAAAAATGGCAAAAGGTCATCTCCAAAAATTATTGATTAAGAGATCGCTATTATGAATCATAAACAATTAGAGATTCGGATGAATCATAAAAGTAATCACAAATAAGGTATAATGAAATACCTGTTGCAAAATGTATTGCACATCTTGCTTTATTTATTCTTCTACAACAATTCTCAATGTACTTCGCTGATATATACTCCTTGTACAATTGTATACAACTATCTTTCCTACACATTTGATAGCAAAAAACTACTAGGAACATAAAAATTTGTATCCAGGATTGAAAGTAGATATATAAAATAAGACCTTGAAATTTGGCCGCTCTTTATCTACTGATTAATTAATTATTTATATATTTTCTATTGTACTGGGGGACTAATAATTCAGTTAGTGCTATTGTTAGGCAGTAATAATTCAGATAGCGCTCCCGATCCCTTAGTATTGTCTTGCAAATAATATCCATAACAAATATATAACCAAAAAATCTGAGATATTTGGTTATATGTGAACATGTTTCTGGTCTTAAGTCGAAGGGTATTTGAATACTACGTAAAATAATGCATGCTTTAATAAAAAAAAAATCTTTTGGAAATTGGATCACCCGTAGTCTCTCCGTGCCAATACGAGAAACACATAAACAATCCCTGGGGCTGCGTCGCGCCGAGCAGAGCAGAGCAGCCCTGGTGGTGGGGGAATCGTCGCAGGCGCCAACCGCCGCCACCGCATCGAGTCGCGTCGCGAATGCAGCGCGACAACGGGCGCGCGCCCCCTCGCGGCCAGCGCCAGGCCTAATGTCCCGGAAACGCGGGGAAGATACGATAAATGCACCGGAAGTAACGTCATTTGCCGCGACGCAGATCGGGGCCCCGCCGCCGCCGACGCCGCGCCGTCGATATCCGACGCCCGCGGAGTCGTCCAGGGCGTCCGCCGCCGTCTCCGCCGCCACTGCAGCAGCCTCCGGTCCCCGCCCCCGCCACCCCTGCCACGCGTTGGCGCGCGGCCCCCGGGGACTGCCTCAACCGCACGGGCGTCGCGTCGCCCGGCGCTTGATCTACCTTCTGCAGAGCAATAGCGCTCCCTCAGCACCACAAACGGAACGCGGTCGTTCGTCGTCAGTCTAATCTCTCGATACCCACTACTGTTCACTTACTCATCCTACTGGCCATTCGCCAACCACTCCCGCCGCCAACCACTCCCGCCGCCAACCACTCCCGCCGCCAACCACTCCCGCCGTCAACCACTCCCGTCGTCAACCCTTTCGTCGTCAACCATCTCGCCATCAACCTTCCCGTCGTCAACCCCCTCGTTAACCACCCCGCCGTCAACCCCGTCGTTAACCACCCTGCCGTCAACCTCCTCTTCGTCAACCACCCTGCCGTCAACGCCATCTATCCGACCGTTTATCATCCCGTCGTCCATCTTCCGGTATCCTACCACCTCGGTCCACCTCCGTTTTTCCATCCCATTCTTTACCACCCCCACCCGCTGCTGTCTTCACTATCAACGCCAACTAGCACCTTTATCATCGTCGACCCCTCACAACTGTTGCTTATCAACCTACGCCACCCTTCTTTCCACCATTGCTGACTTAGCCTCTTTTGCCGGTTGACCGCTTCCGTTTCTGATGTTTCACCATCCTGTAATTCGCAGGACGTACAGATAAAGGCGATTAAGAAATGTCTCTTCCCTGGTGTCTTCCTAACATACCACACGCAGAGCTTGGTGCAACATTTATGTCCGAAAGAAGGAAATGAGAAGGTTTGCGTGACACTGCGATTTAACCACGTGAACTAAAATTGTGTAGTTTCTGCGAATTTCTACAATACATTTGTAGGTGATTAAAATAATGATATCATTAGAGTAAGGCCTGAACGTTATTTCATTAATTTGAAAAGTACTTACCGAAAAAGGGGAGTTGTAGAACTCTTCCAATGTGGAAACGTCTGGAAACAAAATGAAATGTAAATGTTATTCAGTTTATTATTTCATATTGCTGATCTCATAGCTGCGAATGGGAGTGAACAATAACCTTTCAGAGTGGTCGATGAAAGAGGATCGCGTGAGTGGGAGGAAATGACAGCGCTAGAAGAGGTTTCGCTTCGTCACGTACTCCTAAGCACTTGAAGGTATCAATGAATTTGCGTCAGGATAGCACTCTCATTGGCGTACTCGGAGACAGTGCTTGGGCAATGCTTTCGACATTTATTTGTTGCTTTTTCTCAGTCTCTGATTGACTGCACTCTAAGTTGTAGTGTGTTAATTAATTTCAGAATATATCATTCTGCACGGGTGAAGCAAAGTAACGTATACTACTTTTGAATCTCTGCACACGCAATATTTTGGAATCTTTAATCTTATAAAACAACATTGTAAAATTAGATTCACGATTTTGAAAACATTTATTATAGTGTTGTAGTAATTGATTCGTTTAACCCTAAGATCATTTACATATTTTTTCTCAAGATTACATTCCTAAACGTTATGCCAGGAAAACGTTTATCAAATTCCTCGTGTCATTACTTTACCAATCAGAAAATAAGAGATAACGCCTATTCCAAAGGACAACCTCGTTGAACTAAAAATCGATATCCGATAATAACTTTGATAAAATACACTTATTCGCGTATATGTATCATTTATACTATCCTCGTAATTAGTGTCTCAGTATATGTTTAATAAATAGTGCATAGTGAAGCCCATCGACTTGGATGAAGATTAGCTTAAGAAATATTTCAAATATTCAGAAAATATTGAGGAGAAAGGAGGAAAATCCCCCCATATGTTAAATGAAGTACTTGCCTTGCAACTACAAACTTCATTTATCGTACTCTTTTCTTTTGAGAAAAGAGAGGAAATACATATGGAATATTAAGAAACAAAGTAATCGTGTGTTACAAATAAAACACATTATTTGTTGAAATATTGTTAAGCGGTTACGACTTATTTCTATGATATTCAGCAGTTACGTGTAACAAGCGAGATTACCGCCCCAAAATCATTACCCACGAGAAGAAAGAGTTCTCGCAATCAGCTCGTCACTAATTTTTCCATTCTTGGGAAAAAAGGAGCGAAATGGGAATAAACATCCAATTATTTAATTCGAGACTTATTATCATGAAATCGGACGTTCCGTGTCTATGCAAGAACATTATCATACGCAAAACTATCTCGTCAGACAGCAAGTAAAAGAGAATGCACAAGGAGCACCGTCGTTGGAGAGACGACGCCGGCTCGCATTCGTGCTGGGGCGGGGGCGGGGGCGGCGCCGCGCCGCGCCGGCTTTCCCGCTCTACTTGCTGCGCCTTGGCCGGGGCGGGAAACAGTCGTGGCTGGCGGCGGCGGCGGCTTCTGGCGAGCGGTCAATGCCGGCTGCCTTTGCTCCCGGAGGATGCGTTGGAAGTGGGACGACGTGTGGCGGATGATGGGCGAGCTGTGGCGGGCGCGATATGACCTCTAAA